TTCCAACATGCTTGCTGTACATAGGGAAAATACTCGGCGCGCGCGTTGGCGCAGTGCGTAAGAGGTCGCCAAACCGTGTGTCTTTGGATATTAAATGTTTTAGGCCCAGGAAGTCCCTTCGGGCTTCTGGGTCTGTGGCGGAGTGGTGGTTATAAAACCTTACTGCTTCCGTGGAAACTAGTTCAAACCAATATCTACAGGGGTGTCCTCTTGTGCGGGCCTTAGTAAATCTGATTCGGTCCTTGTATCCGGGAGAGAACACTACATGGTGAATGGGGTCCTGGGGGCTTGCTAATATAGAGCTCTGGAGTAATCCAAATTGTTGCGCCAGCAGTGTTTGGGAGGGCAAATATGGCTTGCCTGCAATTTTCCAAACCTTCTGGTTGGATATGTGTGAGTAGTACGAGGATTTGATTTTAATGGAGCGTCTAAGATACCTATGGTACCAGGCGTCGATTTTTTTGAAGGAGTGGGTTTCTAGTGTGAGGACATCCAGGGAGTATAGCAGGACAGGAACAATGCAGCTATGGAAGATGTGGGTTTTTACTTTAATGGGTAGTTTACTTTGCCATATGTGTTGGAGCTTCATGAATGAGGAGTGAGCTAGTTCCATTCTATGCTGAATGGCGATTTTTGGCGGAGTAGTCCAGCTGATCCTAGAGCCCAAATATTTAACCTGATCGCTTACAGGCACTGGAGTGCCATCGGCAAAGCTGATGTCTGCCTGTGCGCTGGGGTGGCGGAGTAGTTCGGTTTTCGTGTAATTGAGTTGTAATCCATATAAAGATGCTTCTACCTGTACGCATGCCAAAAATGATTCGAGTTGTGGTGCCGTGACTGCCATTAGAAGAGTATCATCTGCGTATTCTAGATCATAAATGGGCTTGCCTATTGACCAAGTGTTTTGCGGTGTACCCTCGCTCCTAAGCCGAGCGTCGATGTCGTGGAACAATACTGTCATGATCATGATGAACAAGTAAGGGCTGAGTGGACAGCCCTGTCGTATGCCAATTTTAGGCGTGCCCCAACTTTTTTCTTGAGAGAATCCTTGAGTGCAAAATTGGGGGTCGGTGTAGAGGTCTGTTATGATTTCAATGTAAGTGGGGTGCACTCCTAATCTTTTAAGGGCGACCATCATGGCGGGGTGGCTAACTTTGTCGAACGCTTGCTTCCAATCTAAGAAGAGAAGTTGGAAAGGCTGACCTGTTTTGGCGGAGTAATCTTGGAGCCTGCGCAGGATGAACAATGGCTGTTTTGTACTTCTTTTTGCACGGAAGCCATAGTGGGTGGAGCGTAGTTGTGCGTCGTGTTTAGCGGCTAGTCTTTTTTGCAGCATGGCGGAGTAGATTTTGTAAAACGTATTAAGAAGGGAGATCGGCCTGTAGTTGGAGGGGTCTGAGTCTGATCCCTTGCCCTTGTAGATGCTTACCACGAGCGCTTCTTTCCATGAAGAGGGGACCTTCCTGGCTCTGAGGCAAGCGTTCATAAGGCGGAGTAGCTGGGTTTCACCGTAGTGGTCGAGGAGTAATATTATTTCTCCCTTTACGCCGTCTAGTCCTGGGGCCCTGCCTTTTCTTATACCCTGGATGGCAGCGTAGAGTTCTTCATGTTGAAAGGGAAGGGGGTCAAGTTCGTCGGTCTTGTAAAGCGGGGGGGAAGAGCGGAGTAGTTCGATTTCCTCCTCGGTGACGTCCGGTGGGGACCACTGGTTGTTTTGGAGGTGATCTCTAAAGATTTTGTGCGTGTTCGTCCATGGGACTGGTGTGCCTGAAACTTTTGGTCTGGTTCTCCTAGCTCTAAATCCTTTTTTGAAGCTCTGGACTTGTTTCCAGATTTTGGTGTGTGACGGGTTGGGGTCAGTAAGCAACTGCTCGCGTGTCCATTCCCTTTTGATTTTACGGGCCTGTTTTTTAAGGAGTTTGTGTTTTTTGATATGGGCGGAGTGGTCAATGGATTTTAGGTGCCTAACTTCATGGAACTGTTGTAGTAGTTCCTGCGTCATCCAGGGCTGCTTGGGCTTGCGTTTCAGTAGTGGTATGTGTTGCGACTCAGCTTTGTGCAGAGCTCGTACTGATGTGGAATTGAGGCGTTCCAACGCGGAGTGGTCAGTAGATTGTACTGGTTCAATGAACTCCGAGGGGGTGAGAAGAGGGGTGATGTCGTGCCTACCTCCCACTGGGTCAGGTATTTGTTTTCCTTCTTCTGCCAACCTGTCCGCTATTTCATTAAAGTTGTCTCCTGAATGGCCTTTGACCCAAAACCAATCTACTGTGGTGCGGTTTTGCAACTCTGCCAATAAGATACGTGCATATTTAATCATGGTTTTGTGTCTTTTAGCCTTAGATCTACCCCTAACAGCGTCTGACATCCAACGACTGTCGTAGTAGAAGGAAATTTGTTTAGGCGGAGTGGTCAATGTTAGTATGTACAATGCCGCTTCCATCCAGGCGCTTAGCTCTCCTGTATTATTACTGCCTACTGTCGCTCCTAGGTGAACTGCTGCATGTGGATCAGTGCTGACTGGACCTTTTGAGGCAATTGAATCTTGATTGGTTGTTATGATTGTGTAGCCCCAGCCTGCGGGAGTAGTGGCCGAGCAACGGCCTTTGCTTCCCGACCCATCCGTGTATACTGCCCAATTGGCGTCAGTTGTGTTGAGATTGGGTATTGATTTGTGTTTGGTACATTTTTTAAACGTGTGATTGAACAGGGTTTTAGCGGAGTAGTCTATGGCGGAGTAATCTCTTGCAGGAGGTTTGATTGTGGAGGGTGGTTGGGCTTTGAGTTTAACCCGAATGACTGATTCTAGAAGATAATGGTCACTAACAAATCCTGTGCTATGAACTGCTTGGCATTGTTGAACCGTAGGTAACCATTTGGATCTGGTGACCAAACGGTCCAGTGCCTGGAATCTGTGCGGGTCGATGGTTGGTCGTTGTTGTTCGTGCACTAAGGCGGAGTAGCAAGTGAGGTAATCCCTGACTTTCCCTGCGACCTTTAGGTTCTCATTTTCTGACTGGGGCAAGCTTTGAAATCTATCCCAAATTGGTAGCCATCCTATGGGGTCACTAGAGAACGTGAGCCAATCTAATGGGGGGGGGATTTATCTCGGTATGTGATGTGCTTCAGAAGGTTACTCTGCTTGTAGGTTAGAACATCCTTAGCTTCAGAGGTACTCAGGAATCTCAGATAGAGCTCTCTGTTGTTACCTTCTGTGGTTGGTATACTGAGTCTTCCCTTACCATATACATTGGGGCCCAACATGTGATGTTCATCTGGTTTTCTACCTTGTAGTCTCACATTGAAGTCCCCTATGATATAAACCGGCTCTGGTTGAGGAATTTTGTGCAATACCGAGTCTAGCTTATCCCAGAAGGGGAGCTTGCTAGTTTCAACATCTCTTTTATTGTGTGGGGAGTAGACTCCTATGAGGTGAACATCTCCGGCCGATGCTGCTAGTGTGATTTGAAGGATCCTCGCACTATGCTGAACTACATCTTTGAGGTGTGGTAGAGTTTGGGGGGGAATGATTGCTGTCACTCCTGCGAACTTGTCCTTGTTACTGCCATTGCTAATGAACCTGTGCCCTTCTGAGGTGAATTGGTGGTATGTTGTGTTTCGTGTTTCGGTGAGGAAAAGTACGTCAAGCTTTCTACTACGGAGTAGAGTGAGGACTGACTGGTGTTTTAGTATTTCGGCCATTCCCTGTACGTTTTGTGTACCTATTTTAAAAGGTTGTCCATACGGCAAGGGTGGTGGGGCTACTGCTGGCGGAGTAGCCTTTTTTTGCTTGCCGATTTGTTCAGGCCTTATTATGAGGGTTTTGAAAAGGTACGAATTTCGTACCCCGGTTTGGCGCCTACTTTTGACTGCTTTCAAGGGCACCCCCCCTTTTACCAGTGCGCTGCCCGACGCTTCTGGTAATATAGGCCCACCCACGCTCCTGCGCCAACGGCGGAAAAGCTGCCGTCGAAGGCGTCTAGAGCGGGCACCCAAACCTAGAGGGTGGACTGAAGAAGGGGGGGGAGGGGTGATACACTCTTCGTCTCCCGGTTGCCCGGGTCCCGGCGTGCCTCGTGGAGGCGGTGTTGGCCTATCCTTCTGTGAATTCGTTGGTGGGCGGAAGGGCCGGCTGGCCGAAAAATGGCGGAGTGGTCTTCGGGTGTAGTTTACCTTACGACCATCTGTGAAACGAAAAGAGACTCTCCTACCCGTTCTTATTTTGGGTCTGGGAGTGAGTTGAGGGAAAGGGGAATTTTCGGGAAGCTTTGGGGGGCTAATGGGTCGTTGGGAAAGGAGAAAATCACGGCTAAGCTTGGCTTGATGAATGAAGCTGTACTCCATAGTGGGTTGAGGGTACTCAGTGTACTTGTGGGGAATTAGAAGATCTAGCTGTAATGTTGTTGTGTTCCCATTTTTGATGTGTTGTAATTTGTTGCGGAGTAGCTGTTGCAGAATCTCCCACTGGCTTATCCCATACTTGATAAGTGAACATATTGTAGAATGAACTACCAGAGAGTCCATAAGGACAATGGGGAAAGAGGATCTAGTGGTTGAGGTGTAGTAAAAGACGCATAAGAAGGCGATGATAATGTAGGTGCAGGAAGCCTGAAGGTGAGGATTAGTTGGGAGTTTATTGGGTCTCTTTCGGCTTCTACGAACTACCCTCATATCCCACTGCAGGTCTTTAGCTGTGAGGGTTTGTCTGGCGACCTCTGCAAACTCAGCGTGCGACCGCGATCGTGCAACACCCGGGGCACCCAAAAACCTGGAAACTCTAAAGGGTAAAGTCTTATCATATGGGGGGCGGGGTGGTTGTGGGTGGAAGGCCTGCTCAACCCCTGACTTAAAACATCTCGAAGCAATTCCTTTAAGAAAGTTTCAAATGTGAAGTTGCCTTCGAGGAGTACCTTGAAATTGTGGGGGAGCGGCGCAGTAGCCTGGAGATAAAAAGAGGTACGTACCTCCCTGGCTAGATCGCGAATTCGAGCCGGAACCCTTCAGGCCGTGGGGGCCGTGAGAAGCGGAGTAGCCGCAACCGGGGCTCCGGAAAAAGTAGCCTGGCGGTAGTCGCCGCATTTGCGGCTGTTTTCGCCAAACTTATCACAATACTCATCCCAAACGTAGGCCACTTGGGACACCAGTCTGATCTCGAGGTCGATCGGGTAAGGCATCGAGCTGGCGGAGTAGATCATCGGGGCCGTCCAGTGACGGGACCCCTTTCCAGCAAGCATCCCCTTGCCCGTGCCCTTTGCTGCAGCCTTGGTGTTGGCGAAATGGTCGCGCTCTGCTGCATCCATCTCCTGCTGGACCCCGAAGACGATCTTGTTCCAGCTGTAGGACCAAATCGTGGCCTCCTCTGTCATCAACTCATCGGGCGGAGTGGTTGCAAGCCAGTCGGAGATGACCTTTGTGATCTCGAGGATGCCCTTGAACTGCTCCCCCTCGGCGTAGTAGTGGAGGCGAGCGCAGGCGGTGGCTTGCTCATCAAAGCCGCGCGCCATTTGGGGCGACATCACCGTGAGCGTCTTCCACAAGATCACCACCTGGCGGGGCTCGGTCTCCTCCTTGAGGTTGAGGGCTTGGAGGAGTACTCGGATTGGAATTTCCAACTTTCGTTGGAATTGGGGGCTCGAAGGTGTAGCCCTGATATGGTGGCGGGGTACTGGAGTGCGCGCATCCTTGTACAGTGGGGTACCCTGAGTGCCACCATATGCCTCCATGAACGCCTTTCTCAGGTCCCAGGATTTGAAGCTGAGTAGCGTTACCGAGCTCCACTTCTGTGCCCCTGCCGGCGGAGTAGACGGGTCTGCAGAGCTCGAGCATCCAATTGACCATGAAGAGCCGTTCGGAGGGCGACATGCTCGTATCCCAGCCGGTCAAAATGACCATGAGTGCAGCACTTTGCTTTTGGAGGGCTCTGTTCTCTGAAGCCATCCAGGCTAACTCCTTGGATTGGCGTAGTAGTCTATCGTCCAGCGAGACCAATGCTGCCTCAACTTGGTTGATCAAATTGTAGAGTTCAGGACGGATCACGGCGGTGTGGTAATGCCGGATGGTGTCCAGGACTTGCGCCCTGGTGGAAATCGTTTCCTTCATCCATAGGGCCATATCTGTCGGGTTGTTTGCGTTGACACCGGCGGAGTGGGCTGTGGCTACAAAGGCCGTCTCCTGCTGGCAGTGCATGGGCTGGAAAAGACCAGTGTCTTGCGTTGCCGGCGGAGTACTCCCTGAGGCGGTTGGAGCCGTTGGGCCAAAGGTGTCTCCGGTTGGGGTGGCCAGCCCCGTGGAGGAAAAGGCCGGTGTCGGGGGGCCGCGCTTGGCAACCCTGCGCTGCTCGAAGAACAACTGCTGTGAGGCGGCGTACGCTGGGCCCTGTACCAAGGTGGCCTGCTCGCTGTAAACGCGCCTGGCCTCCATGAGGCTCTCTGCGGCCCCTGTGCCATCCGTCATGGCTCGAAACTGGGGTGGCGTAGTAGCCCTTGAGGCTACAAGGCAAAACCCCGAAAAAAAGGCCGCGGCTGAAACCATCATGCGAAGTGGTCCCTGCCTGGCAGAAAATTGACTGTGCAAACTGAAAGCGAAACCCACCATGTCTTGCAGCGAAGGCTGAAAGCCGATACGCCTAGGGTTTAGGGTTTAGGGTTTAGGGTTTGGGGGGGAGACCGGGACTCACTAACCTTTCAAGCCTTACCCAAAACGAGGGTGGAAAAGAACCTCGAGTTATTGGGTACATCTGAGCTTCTTGGAAGGTGCAAAGTTACTTTAGGCACCAAGTGTCCATTTGCCCTGTTCCTATATACTTCTGCCTCAGAGTCCCTGTTTACTTACTTCTCCAATAACCAAGGGAAAAAAAGGTTAAACTTTATTATTCCTACTAAGCAAGGAAACCCAAAAAGTTTAAAGTTCAGCTGTTGGAGAAGTAAGTTTAGGAAGTGCTTCAAGGCCCAAGTATTCCCGATTTCGGTACGTGGACCCTTAGGGTACGAGGCTTAGAGAAGAGCCAGCAGGTTCGGGCTCGCGGACTGAGATTGCGGGTTCAGTTGTTTCCTTGTGGGGGGGGGGGGGGGGGAATTGGGAACAAAAGCCTGAAACCAACGTTTATAAGCCCAAAAATGATTTTCTTTAGGCCAGGGATACTTAACCCCTGATAGGATCGAAAAGTCAACTACTTAGGGTTTAGGGTTTAGGGTTTAGAGTTTAGGGTTTCTATCTCGATTGCGAGCGTGAAGCACTAACGTACAATTGTGGCCACATGAACTCGTATGCACTATGTGACCGGGAAAGACATATGTAGAGCAACCTCCTAGACAAAACGAGCGGCATCAACTGAAACAGCTTGGAGGTTCAGGGTACTTATTTGCCAATTCTAACTGTACTTTAACCCACTTATAAGCCCCTTAATGTGCCCCAATGTGGAAACAATTGGGTTATAAGTACCGTTAATATTGGGTTAATAAGTACCCTCAACCTCCAAGCGATGTGGTGGTTGGCTTCCGAACACCTCATGTCTCAGGCTGAATACCCTAGCCCCAAAAAGGGTTCACCGGTTAACCTGCTATATATAGAGGATTCTATGCGGCCAAAAACGGCTAAAGGTTACTTACCCAGTCCCTAAAATGTGACAGCATAAAATACTGCAAGCGCTTCTTAAAAAATGAATAAATAAAAAACGATAGCAAAGACTCTAGACACGAAAACTGTGAACGTCCAAGCCTTAAGATCACAACTCGACAACAGCACGAGCGCTAGGCGTCCGCCCTTGCTTTTATCATCCTCGGCGCGCTGGGTGGTGTCCGAGCATGCTCGTCATCGCAGTATAGGCTAGGGATTGAAGACAGATGTGGGGGGGTTCCTAAATTAGGGTACCTTATTGGGGGTCCTTATTACAAGGGAATCCTACTGTTTGGCGCTCTAAACTGGGGTCCCCCATTCTCCTAAACTCCCATATCACACTAGCCCTAAACCCTCAACCCTAAGTCCCGAACCCTAAAACACAAACGAGGTTGGGTAAGAACTTCAGCGATTGGCGGCTTGGAACTTGTAGGACTTGGGGGTCCAGAGGATTTGGACATCAAGGCTGGTATTTCTCGAGCTTCAACAGTGAAGGGCTGAGTGTTTATCAGGGCTTGGGGTGCAGGGTTTCCGGGCCCCTAAACCCTAAACCCTGAACCCTAAACCCTAATCCCTAAACCCTAATCCTCACCCGAGGTTGGCCCTCAATAGCTGATTACAAACTCCCTGCAAAAAACAAGATTCCAAAATCCCAAAAGTGAAAATACATCCCCAAGAACCTAGGAAAGTTGCACTTTGGAGTCGTGGGAGAATCCTAAACCCGAAACCCTAAATCCTAAACCGTAAACCCTAGCTGTTTGGAGGTAAACGTTGCCTCGGCAGGATGGTGCAGGGCAGCTTCTTACCCACAACCCCGGTGGATGAAGCATAAATAATAAATGATGGGTTTAGGGTATTTGGCGGGTTTTGGGGTTTGGGGCCGGTGGTTTGGTGGCTTTTTGTTTGATTTTATGTTTTGTTTTTTGTTTGGGGGGGGGAAGGCCTTAGAAGGCTCGGAGTTCAAGGCCTCCTTGGCTGCACCGGAATCTTTCCTTCAGCCAACATGGCTTCACAAGGGGTCGACCCTTCTTGCCGCGCGAAGGTTGGGATGTTCCCCCCCTTATTCTAACAGTCCTTGATAGGGATTACAATAGAGGGGGGGGAATACTACGAGTACAATCCCTTTTAAAGGACTGTTAGTATACGGGGTCCAACGCGAAGGCCTCCACGGAATGATGTAACTATCGCACATTGCTACGCACGTTCCGAACGTGCAACGTGCGAAATTAAAACATGTTGCAGATCAGAGGTGCTGAGCAAGTGCCACTCTTTTTGTTGTGTTACCATTTGCGCGTTGTGCCGACCATGATGTGGAGAACTAACTATAGAATTGCAGTTACTGCACGTCTACACCATCACATGCTTTGGTGACACGGAGAGGCTCAACACCACCCCTTCGCTGTGCCTTCTGCTGCGTCAGCGAAGCCATCTTGGCCGACGAGGTGAATCTCTGCGAAGAGCCTGAGGCAAGTTCACACCATCATTGCCAGAGTTTAATTGGGAGGTTGTGCGGAAGATGATGATGCCCCAAACAATGTGCCGGGGGGTGCTGGGAGGGTCAGGGGCAGATTCGGGTCCTGCTTGTTTCAAGTCGAGATGGGATTGGGATGGATTGTTCGTACGCGTGCGTGCGTGCATGCGTGTGTGCCTGTTGCTCTTGCCACACGGAGCGAGTCTGTCTTATCGAGGTAGCACAGCAAAAGCCGTGCCCAAAAGCCGGCGAAAATCCCTGACATACCATAGCTATAGGGGCCTGTTTAACTTGAGACGTGCATGGCGGGCTGTTTTAAAAACACAGAAATCTAAATATACCAGTATACGTCTTTACTTATGAAAGTGTGTGTGTATATACGTATATATGTATATAGATTGTCTTGAAAAAGGACTACGTAACAAGAGGAAAGTCATGGCACGATAGGGGTCGGAATAATTACGAATAGCATTCCCTTATGGTCCATGTATAAATCTTCTATGATGACCCCCAAACCCTGCTCCAAACCCTAAACCCTAAACCCTAAACCCTCTAATTATTAAGGCTGCTGCATGAAGCTTGTGCAGCGGAGCCACCCTGGCTGCTGCCGCAGAGCTTCGCCCAAGAGCGATCCGACCTGTTTTCCACTCTGCTTGGTTTAGGGTTTAGGGTTTAGGGTTTAGGGTTTAGGGTTTAGGGTTTAGGGTTTGGGGTTTAGGGTTTGGGGTTTAGGGTTTAGGGTTTAGGGTTTAGGGTGTAGGGTGTAGGGTGTACGGTGGAGGGTTGAGGGTTGAGGGTTGAGGGTTGCTTGATGGGTCCTGAATATGGTCCCTAGCCTCCTTTAAAGGGGTTCTGATGTCTGGGCCCTTAGTTTGTATAGGGTATATAAGGGGTATTTTAGGGGTTCTCTTTTAAGGGCCATAGTAGGGGACCATGTAAGTACCCTTAGATATGGGGTTCTCTCTTAAGGGCCATAGTAGGGGACCATGTAAGTACCCTTAGATATTAGACCCCAAGAGTAACCTAGGAATAAGCAGGGTGCCCCTTTTTGGCTTGAAGGGGCTAAGAAGGGAACCTACACCCCAAGCAAAGGGGAGCAAGGGCCTATTCTTAGTTGCTGAGTTCATAAGCCCCCCCCCAAAAGTGTACACTTTCAGTTCTGTAGGGGGTTATAGTAAGGGGGGGTCGGGGGCTGATCCAAGTCTTAGGGCCGTCCAGAGAGAGCCCTAAGTCAACGCAACAGCCTCCGCCTAAACCCTCAACCCTAAACCCCAAACCCTAAACCCTAAACCCTAAACCCTAGACCCTAAACCCTAAACACTAAACCCTAAACCCTAAACCCTAGGCGGCCAACTATCCTGTAGGCCGGAGCCACAGGTTCCCTTTAGGGCCTTCCGGGATTGGGTATGAAGGGGGCGCAGGGCCTACCTGCATCCCCAAGTACCTGGTATTTTGAAGAGAGTTTCGCCCAAACCCTATAAACCCTATAAACCCTACAAACCCTATAAACCCTATAAACCCTATAAACCCTATAAACCCTGTAAACCCTGTAATTAGTAAACCCTACAAACCCTATAAACCCTAAAAAATTATAAACCGTATAAACCGTATAAACCCTATAAACCCTATCAACCCTAAACCCTAAACCCTACACCCTAAACCCTAAACCCTAAACCCTAAACCCTACAGGCACCCCGCAAACCCTGCACCTTCAGCCTGCTCCACGCAGCTAGGGCTTAGGAGGATCTGCCAACCATCTGGGCCATTCTGCGCAATTCTCCCACACGGCTTAAGGTTTCCAGGGCCCTAAACTAAACCCTAAACCCAAAACCCCAAACCCCAAACCCTAAACCCTAAACCCTTAACCCTAAATCCTAAACCCAAACCCGAAACCCTAGACCCTAAACCCTACTAAGATCCTAATAGCGACTCCCCACTATCAAGGGCCTCCTTGGGATCGTTGCCATACGCCCCGCAGCCGACATCCGGAATCTCAGCGTGACTTCAGAGCCGGGTTTGTCATAGGGTTTCGGGCTTAGGGCTTAGGGTTCAGGGTTTGTCACCACAAGCCCTGTGAACCCTACCTAAACCCTTGAAACCCGAAGCCACAAACCCTTACGGTTGGGGTTCTGAGTTTGAGCTCTTTATAGGTTTGAGTGTTGAGGTTGAAGGTTTCTAGGGCTTCAGGTTTAGGGTTGATATGGGGGTTTCCAAACATTACCGGTACCTATTCGGGGGTCACATGAAGTGAGGATTTCTAAATGTTTCCGGCGCATGAAATGTACGTAAGGGGTCTCCCGGCTACTGGACATACAGTCGTACCCCTCATATCAGCCCTAAACCCTAAACCCTAAACCCTAAAACCTAAACACTAAGCCCTAAACCCTAAACCCTAAACCCTAAGTTGAGGGCAGGGTGGGCAGGCAGGCCAGAGATTCGAGCTTGGCTGAGTGTAAGGGTTGTGGGTCTTCTGGGTCGAGAGTCGAGGGAAATCGAGAGTTATATATATATATATTCGCATATATATATATATATATAATATACATATAAACCTGCGTAATACACGAAAACCCTAGATCCCTTAAATATGAAGTTTCGGCTATGCTGCCGAAGACTACGGGAACCATTCCGGAAATTCCATCAGCTGACCCAGCGGCAACTCGTTAACCTGCCACTGGTGGGCAAACCTGCACCAAAAAAAGGAGGTGATGGCCTCTTAAAGTAAAGAAGACACCCTAAACCCCAAACCCGACACCTTAAACCCTAAACCCTAACCCCTGTCGCAGCGGCAGTCCAATGTGATGAACCAGGGACCCGGCGACAAGCGCACCGTCCTAGGCGAGCAGAAAACGACAACCAACAATCTGGTTCAGAATGTCGCGTCTAAAGGCTTCAAAGGGTTTATCTAACCCTAAACCCCAAACCCTAAACCCTAAACCCTGAACCTTAAACCCTAAAACCAACCCTAAAACCTAAAGCCTAAAGCCTAAACAGCTGAACTTTGAACCCTTAACCTGAAACCCTAAACCCTAAACCTGAAACCCTAAACCCTAAATCCTAAACCCCAAACCCTTGCAGCTCGAGCGACCGGCCCTAGCACCCGGCCGGCGGAGGCGAGCACCGCAGCAAACTTCTGGAGGATCAGGGCTTGATAGCTGCCTCAGTCTGACTAAGGTTTAGGGTTTAGGGTTTAGGGTTTAGGGTTTAGGGTTTAGGGTTTTAGGGTTTAGGGTTTAGGGTTTAGGGCTTAGGGTATTACCGAGTTCAGGGTCCATAGGATTTAGGGGTTTAAGGTTTAGAGGAAGGGATTCATAGGGTTTGGCTACAGGGCTTAATAGCCACCTCAGCCTTTCTTTCATTACCGGGTTTAGGGTCTGTAGGGTTTAGGGGTTTAAGGTTTAGGGTTAGGGGTTGGGGGGTTCAAGGTGAGTATGTAACCCAAGGTTCCCTAACACTCCCCACTACTCCCCAAGGCTTCCCAAGCGTTCCCTATAGCATTCCCTATGCGTACCTACCCCATGAACCCCCCTCCCTTTCGAACCCCATAGCAGTCTTTGAGGATTCGCACATGTCAGGGTTGGGGGCGTAGGAGTGAGGGCTTGAGGTTTAATTTAATTCTAGGGTTTATGGTCTATAGGCTTAAAAAGGGTACCCTTTTTTGCTTAAAGGGGTTTATAAGGGAACCTAAAGCCCCCAAAAAGGGAATAAGGGTACTACTGGGCATCCTAGGAGGGCTCGTAGATAGGAGTCGCCACCTCCGTGAACAAGCAAACAGATATGGGGATTCTTGGGTTTGCAGGGCTTGCAGGGGTTATAGGCGCTCACAGGGTTTATAGGGATTGTCCCTAAACCCAAACCACCCTAAACTTACCCAAAACCCTAAAGCCTAAACCTTGGGTGACTCAAGGGGACGAGTTAGCTAGCAAGCCTTCGGGATCTTAGGGTTTCGAGAGATTAGGTTATCGGGCTTTAGGGTTTATCGGGCTCAGGGTTAGGGTTTGCAGAGACCCGGAAAACGATCGGCGTACGGGACAACAAGGCAGCCGTTGCAGACATAAACAACTCGCCCACGACCCGGCTCGTCCAACATCTGCGCAAGCAGTCGGAGCACCCGAATCGGCAGCTCGTCCAGGAAAAAGCAGATTCCAGTCGCTGCGTAGTTAAGGCCCAGTGCCACGGCCATGGCAAGCAGAGGACCTGGGTATGGCTCTCGTGTGGGGAGCTCGAACGCTGGTGCAAGAGCCCCGCGACGGCAGCAACTGGCGATCGAACTGCTGCAAGCGCCGAAGAATAATACTCTCACACCCGCCGAACTCCGAACCAGGGCGTGGGGGTTAGAGTTTAGTGTCTAATTAGGGGTCAAAGCTCCGAATAGGGGTTAGGGTTTGGGGTATAAGGGTAACGACTCCGGACGTGCTCCGTGTTCTCTGACAAACCTGGGGCAGATGCCAATTCGCCTCATTCCCTGCCCCCCCCCCCCCCCCACACAGCCCTCGACGTATCCCAGGTTGCCCCCGCCTCTTGCACTCCCTAAGCCCTAAACCCGACCCTAAACCCTAAACCCTAAGCCCTAAACCCTATCCCTAAACCCCTTACAGGGTGTAGGGTTTAGGGGCCTGCTCTGCTGGGACCCCCTCCCGACCCCCCCTCCCTGAAGAACATTGCAACTGGGAGAATGCGCAGAGTGCAGCTCAATCTTACCTAAACCCCTAAACCCCTCAACCCCTAAAACCCTTAAACCCCTAAACCCCTACACCCCTAAAACCCCTAAACCCCAAACCAAACCTCCAAACCCCCAAACCCCTAAACACCTACACCCTTAAACCCCTCAACCCTAAAACCCTTAGAACCCTAAACTCCTACACCCCTAAAACCCCTAAACCCCACACCCCTAAACCCCTACACCCTTGAAGCCCTCAAACCCCTCAACCCCTAAACCCCTACACCCCTAAAACCCCTAAACCCCTAAACCCCAAACCCCCAAACCCCTAAACCCCTAAACCCTTAAACCCCTCAACTCCTAAAACCCTTAAACCCCTAAACCCCACATCCCTAAGACCCTCCCCTTAACCCCCCAAACCCCCAAACCCCTAAACCCCTACACCCCTTAAACCCCTCAACCCCTAAAACCCTTAAACTCCTAAACCCCTACATCCCTAAGACCCTTAAACCCCCAAACCCCCAAACCCCTAAACCCCTACACCCCTTAAACCCCTCAACCCCTAAAACCCTTAAACCCCTAAACCCCCTACATCCCTAAGACCCTTAAACCCCCAAACCCCTAAAACCCCTACACCCCTTAAACCCCTCAACCCCTAAAACCCTTAAACCCCTAAACCCCCTACATCCCTAAGACCCTTAAACCCCCAAACCCCTAAAACCCGTACACCCCTTAAACCCCTCAACCCCTAAAACCCTTAAACTCCTAAACCCCTACATCCCTAAGACCCTTAAACCCCCTAACCCCTAAAACCCCTTCAGAAGCTGAAGTAATCATCGGGCTGCTAGGATCTGGCGGGGCGTCGATAGGGGCATCTCGCACCTGAGGGCCGAAACAAAAAAAGCCCTAAGAACACCAAAAAACCCAAAACCCTATAAAGCCTATAAAGCCTATAAAGCCTATAAAGCCTATAAAGCCTATAAACCCTATCAACCCTATCAACCCTATAAACCCTATAAACCCTATAAACCCTATAAACCCGTTTAAACTCTGTAAACCCTAGAAACCCAAGAAATATGCATATATATATGTATGTATATATATACATATATATATATACATATATATATATATATACATATATATATATATACATATATATATATATATAAACCCTAGAAACCCTAGACCCGCTAGAAGGTGGCGGGCGGCTTTCAAATTCCGGGTTCAGGGGCCGGGAAGGCATCGATCGAAAGTGCAGTTCCACACAGAGCCATGGGACTTTCCCTTGGCCCGCAAAGGTTGTACCCTTGGGTTTGGGGACCGGTTGGGAACTCAGAGACTCCAAAACCCCTTAATTAGGGAATATCCCTTAAAGTCTAATACGAACCCTAGTATGATTTAAGGTATATTCCTTGATTAAGGGGTTTTGGAGTCTCTGGGAATATAAGGGCCATACTAGGCGTATATTAAAGGGAACCTCTCGGGGCTACGAGTCTTAACCTCTTGACCACCAAGCCCTAAACCCTAAGCCCTAAACGCTGAACCCTGAACCCTGAACGCTGAACCCTAATCAGGGCGGTAGGGAATTCCCTAAACCCTAAACCCTAAACCCTAAACCCTAAACCCTAAACCCTAAACCCTAAACCCTAAACCTCAAACCCTAAACCCTAAACCCTAAACCATATGCGACCCCTGCAGAGCCGAGCCTGCGGATTGCGGTTCGGCATCGCAACGCTGATCACGGCGACTTTGGACACCTCGCTGTTCTGCTTATGGGTTCCCCTACTACCCCCTCTATACTACCCCCCCCCCCCCCCCCTAAATTCCCCCCTTAAATAGCTTGAATTCGGCATAATTATCCCTAAATAGGGGGGAACCTGGGGGGGGAGGGGGGGTAGTATAGAGGGGTAGTAGGAGAACCCATGATCTGCTGAGGGTGGAAAAGGGCTACGCTGCAACACGAAACCCCAAACCCTGCAACGAGGGCTTCGGACTCGGGCTTCCAGGCCCAGTCTCTGATCCAGAAACTTCCGTGGCTGGAGCACATCGCTATGGTCGTTGCTCTCCTGAACCTACATTCGCCCCCCTCAGCCACTACTGCACCCCTAGCCATCCTAGTATAGGGGCCTTAATAAATAGAATAGAGTTTTGGGGATCATTATAGTATACTTACAAAGGGGCGATAAGGGAATATTTTTTAGTACTTCTTCCGACCCCTAGATTATTACTCCCTACCGTTCCGGCTGTCTGCAATGCCTGATCCTGGACCATGGCAGTCTGACGAGCACTAAATCCCAGATCAGCAGGCTGAAATCCACAATCCAAGCCTCTCAGCCGAAACCACAGAAACCTCAAATGGGAGTTTACGAACATAAGGGACCCCTATAGTCGTCCCCCCAAAATAGTAGGATTCCCTGATAATAAGGACCTCCATAAAACAGGTGCCCCTACTTAAAGGAACATGGTACTTATTAACCCAATAATATCGGTACATATACCCTAATTATAACCATATTCGGGCACTTAGGGTTATAAGTACAGTCAAAACTAGTTCATAACTACCCTGAACCTCCAAGCAATTTCGAACACCCCCCCCCCCCCCCCCAAATCGATTCTGGTTCGCAATATCGGCGCAGCCTGTGAGAGGAAAGGGTAGCCCACCTCCGAAAGCGTTCTCGAAAGGTTTAGGGTTTAGGGTTTAGGGTTTGGGGTTTGGGGTTTAGGGCTTAGGGTTTGCTGTATTTACAGCACTTTAAGTAATAGGGATGTACAGCATGCTGCGTCAGTAGACCTAACATGTGCGAGGTCTGCTCACGCTTCAGCTTTTGGGCATGTGATCGAATGACCTGCAGAGACAGTACTCTGTAAAGTTAGGTCCTTCATATGGGACACGTCAGGTAAGGCACTATGTCGTAGCAGTGGGACCCCAACCAAAGCAACCATAACTTTGAAAAACGCCCAGCTGGCCCTCCATACCCCTGTCAAGTGACCTCAAGGTAATTCGAGCCTGTGACCTCATGCCAGCTTCTCTAGGCTCCCCAGGTAGCAAAGGAATTTCACAGGGTAACAACCATGTGCAGCTAAATGGGCTTCAATAGGGAACCAAAACCCCCTGTTCAAAAACATCCGAGTCCTTCTGAACAGACGAGCTCCGCTAGGCCTGACTGCCGATTCCTGAAGCACTTGTTTAGGCCCCTGGGGATATAGACCCTCTCAATAAGGTCCCTGTTTAAGAGAGCCAGAAGAAGGTTCAGAAGGGTTCCCTTTTAAGGGCCCTCCCTATCCTCCCTAGGATTGTTAACAAGCATCGAGCCGGAAACAATGCTGGAGGACAGGGGCGAGGCTCGAACTGCCGGGGGAATCCCTTGCTAGGCGCTCCTTGCATTCTACGCTGCCGCCTTCATCTTCCCCAAACTGATATTCTAGGGTTCTGCAAGGGAGTGGGGTTCAAGAGGGTAGCTCGGTACATAAGTTTAGGGAGCCTTAGGGAGTAGTTATATGCAGCAAAGGGGCATCGGTGCCACCACGGAAAACCTGCCACAAAGCGCAGGAAGCAAGGGTTGCAATGTGGTACTGATCTTTCTGCTAACGCTTGCCCTGCAGCCGCAGGACGGCTTTCGAGGCCATCCTGAAACTCGCAACTGCGCGCCCTACTACCAACTGAACCCCACTCAGCTCTACTAAGCCATACTAAACCATACCGAAATCCTGCTAAACCCTAAACCCTAAACCATTAGACACAAAACCCAAGCCCTTAACCCTGCAAGCTTCCGGCTTCAGCTCCTGAGGTTCGGGATTTCTGCACCCCAAAACCTCGAACCCAACCCCAAGACGTTGCGCAGGGCTGTTCGTGTAGCTTGGGGCTGGCCTAACACTACAACAGCCCCCAAAACCCCGTAAGCCCCAAAGCCCTTAACCCACCACTTCCTCCAACAGCAGAAGCACGGTAAGAAAAATGATGATCATAATAGCAGTCGTAGTAGCAGTTAAGGTAACTACACCCAAGAGTAACCTAGGAATAACAAGGGCACCCTTTTTTGTTTAGAGGGGCTTCAAAGGAAATTAAGCCCTAAACCCGAAACCCTAAGCCCTAAACCCTAAACCCTAAACCCTAAACCCTAACCCTAAACCCTAAACCCTAAACCCCAAACCCTAAACCCCAAGTTCTTGCCCCGAAGAGCCTCGACCTCCGGGGAAACCAAGCAGCCGAGTTCGGGGATGTGGCACGTCCAGGGCCTGAAACGTTTAGGGGTTGAGGGTTTTTAGGGTTTAGGGTTTAGGGTTTAGGGTTTGGGGTTTGGGGTTTAGGGTTTAGGGTTTAGGGTTTACGGTTAGGATGAAGTAGAGGCTACCGACAACCTTAAACCCTGAATGGTTTTAGGGTTTAGGAGCGTAGGGCTTGAGGGCATGAACTGTCAGACCGAGATTTTGAAGGGTCTAGGCTAGGGCTTAATGGTCTTATAGCGTCTTAGGGCTTGAGGGTCTCAGGGATTGGAGCTTGTTTTCGTATTTGGGCTGCAACTCTAACTCCACAAACTTGACCCTTCAGCTGTTACACCCTAGACTAGAGCCCTCGAAACCCAAACCCAGAAACTTTCCCTGAACCCCCACTCCCACCCAAAGAACAACCTGCAAGCCCTGCAAATATACACCCTACCGCACACACTAAAAATCTAAACTCCCGACACCCTAAACTAGTTCATGGTTGGGAAAATATTATATACCGAAATGTCTATTCCTTATTCAGTTTAAGTACCCTTAAAAATGCAAAATGTTACCCCCCCCCCATTATGACAAAGCAATGCCCCAAACCCTAAACACTGAAACCCTAGAGCCAAAAGCCCTGAACCTTTGCTGAGCTGGGAGGCCTGCCCTGCTGCGTAGCCGGCTGGCAGCTCTTGGGCGGGGCGACATTTTCAGCCCTGCGAGAAAAGCAGGGGGAGGGGTTTCGGGTTTAGGGTTTAGGGTTTAGGATTTAGGGTTCAGGGTTCAGGGTTTAGGGTTTGGGGCTTAGGGTTTAGGGCTTTTCCTGGTCCCCCGGCAACCTAAGGCCTATAAACCCATAAACTACAATCACAGGGCCCTCCCATATGCCCATCAAAGGGACGTTCCACCAGTTCCGGTCTTCGCTGGGGCTTGCAATTCCCTCATCTCACTCCCTCTAAAATTTTAGGGTTTAGGGTTTAGGGCTAGGGTTTAACGTTTGGGGCTTAGGGTCCCAAATCTCCCAAACCGAAAACCCCGAACCCTTCAACCTAAAGCCCTAAACTCCCAGGACCGCGCTGCCGCCCAAGCCGCAAAAGACCTTCAACCACATGCGCCCTAAGCCCTAAACCCTACAGCCCCTAAAGCCATAGCCTTAAAATCTAAAATCTTAACCCCTGAACCTTAAACCTTAAAACCCTAAAGCCTAAGCCCTAAGCCCTTAAACCCTAAACCCTGAAGGCCCTCCACACACCATGGCCTCGCCAGCGCAGAAGCCTTCCGCAGCGACAAGGAGAAAGTGGAGCGCATGCAGAGCGACCTTAAAACCACAGGTACAAGGTGAGAGGGTCTAGGGTTGAGGGTGTAGGGTTTAAGGTTGGAGGGTTTAGGGTTTGAGGGTTTAGTGTTTAGGGTTGAGGGTGTAGGATTTAGGGTTAGAGGGTTCAGGGTTTAGGGTTGAGGGTGTAGGGCTAGAGGGACATAGGAAGATAATGGGTTGTAGGGTTTAGGGGCCAGAGAGTTCGAGGGGAAAGGTTTGGGGCTTGGGGCTGGGGGGTGAACTGGAGGAGCCCTCCGAAACTAGTGGCTTATGATACGTAGGGTTGATACCAGGATGGGCTACTATACCCTATAATCCTGTAAAAGGCCCTGTATAGGGTTCATTATGGGGATTTTATGGCCTAATAGCCCATCCTGGTATAGGGGATTGGGGCCTGTGAGGTTCTGGGGCCGTCTAGGGGTTAGCGCCCTCTAAGCCCATGAAACCTTACGTCAGAAGCCCCAAACCCCTTGCGCTTTAGAGATTATATGGGGCTTTTTGGGGGTTTAGGGCTTAGGCTGGGCTTGCACAGGCATGCAATCAAAGCGGAGAAGGTCAGCTATCATATGGGCATGTCCCAAAATAGGGGTATCCTTTTAATACCCCTAAATAGACTAGAAACCCCCTTAAAGGGAGCCTCCAAAAAAGATACCCCTGTTCTCGGAAGCTCCCATATTCCTACGATTCGCTTTTAGGGCTCCGGAGGTTGGGCCTGTTGGATTGAGGGTTTAGGGTTTAGGGTTTAGGGTTTAGGGTTTAGGGTTTAGGGTTTAGGGTTTAGGGTGCAAGTGATGGTGAGAAACCCATGTCTTTCACCAGCAAGCAAGGGGCCATAAGGGAGAGGTGACGGACCCTAAACCCTAGTTAAACCCCAAACCCTAAACCCCATAAACCCCAAAACCCTCAACCCTGAACCGCAAACTTTCCTAAGCCCTAAACCGCAAACCTAAATCCCTAGACCCGAAACCGCAACCTTAAACCCTAAACCCTAAACCCTAAACCCTAAACCCTAAACCCTAAACCCTAAACCCTAAACCCTAAACCCTAAACCCTAAACCCAAATCCCCCTACTAGGGCTGTTGAAAGGGCTCTTCTTTGGAAATATTCAAGCCCAGCCTTTTGTTGGGGGTAAGATGGGCCCTTGCACCCCACCTCCTTTACAGCCTCCAAGTTCCGCCCTACATTCCTTTTTTTTTGTGGGTTTAGGGTTTGGGGTTTGGGGTTTGGGGTTTGGGGTTTAGGGTTGAGGGTTTAGGGTTTAGAGGGCCTCCAAGCCCCATTATAAACCCCAAACCTCCCTCAACCCGAAACCCGAAACTCTTAGAGTAGTTACATGGTCCCTTAATATGGGCCCTGAAATGGGGAGCCCTTATGTGCCCCTTACAGCCCGTACTTCAGAAGTCTTTAAAGGAGGTAAGGGACCACATGAAGGGGCCATGTAACTTTCCTTAGCGAAGCCCTAGACTCCAAGCCCTATAAACCCTAAGCCACCACAATCAGGGGCCGTGCAACTTCCCTCAGATAAGTCCTACAGACTCAAAGCCCTAAGCCCTAAACCCAAAACCACTAAACCATTAATAACTCTAAGCCCAAAACCCAAAACTCAAAACCATAAACTCTAAACTCTAAGCCCAAAACCCAAAACCCAAGACTCTAAACCCTAAACCCAAGACTCTAAACCCTAAACCCTAAACCAAGCAAAGTTCTGGAAATGCATTGGAAGGTGCTCCTCGAGGGCATGACGACCTCCTGTGAGGAACCCCCCACCTTCGCCAGGCAGCGTGGGGCTTGGGGTTGAGGTTTGAAGGGTTGTATTAGGGGTTTGGGGTTTAGGGTTTAGGGTTTGGGGTTGAGGTTTGAAGGGTTTTCTTAGGGTTTGGGGTTTTAGGTTGTTTCAGGGCTTTTTCTAGGGTTTTTGGGGATGAGGTTTGAAGGGTTTTCTTAGGGTTTGGGGTTTAGGTTGTTTCAGGGCTTTTCTAGGGTGTTTGGTTTTGGTGTTAAGGGTTTTTTAGGGTTTAGGGCCTGTTAGGGTTTGGGTTTTAAGGGCTTTTCAGGGTTTCGGGTTTACGGGAGGGGAAGAAAAGAGGGGGGGGGGGGGGGGGGGGGGGGGGAACGAGCGTAGGGGGCTTGAAGCGTTAAGGTTTCTCGAAACAAGACCTTCTCAGAGCCCACAACGTAAACACCTAACCCCAAGACCTCCTAAACCCTAAACCCGAAATCCTAAAACCCCCAGCCCCAAACCCTGCAAACCCTAAACTACAAGTCTGCTGTGCCGTGCGCCCAACTTGCGTCTCCTGAACGGTTTAGGGTTCAGGGTCCTTATAATAAGGGTCCATGTACCGATATAGTATATACTTGGGCCTTAAAGGGGTTCCCATATAGTCGCTTTAGGGCACAAATATACACCATGTGGGTACATGGACCCTCAGGGGGTGTTGGGTTATAAGGGTTTTTAGGCCACCAAGCGCGGCCTGGATGGTAGGCTGATGCAGCATTGACCACAGCAACCTGGGTTGGCTTAGGGTTTAGGGTTTAGGGTTTAGGGTCTAGGGTCTAGGGTTTAGGGTTTAGGGTTCAGGGTTTAGGGTTTAGGGTTTAGGGATCCGCCCGGAAACCTAACCTGTGCGCTAAAGCCCTGACACTAAGCTGAAATCCCTATGGGCCCTAAGTGTAAGGCTCCGAACTCTGGCTGCAAGCCTGTTGTAAAGACTAGGCTTGAGGGTCGTCGCAAGTGGCTTTTCGATGCCGGGATGTCAGCTCGCATGCCACGTCAATCAAAAGGCCTGCAAAGCTTAGGGTTTAGGGTTTAGGGTTTAGGGTTCAGGGTTTAGGGTTCAGGGTTTAGGGTTTAATTAGGGTTTAGGGTTTAGGGTTTTGGGTTTAGGGGACATACTGACATTTGCATCACCGTCTCATACATGCACAGACTGTACGAAAGCGGCTCCTGTCAGGACAACAGGGTACCGAATTCTTATGCCAAATGCACAAGTATAGGTGACAAATCGCTACATCCTAAACCCTAAACTGTAAACCCGAAACCCTAACCCCCCCCCACAAAAAATGTGTAAATATACAAGTATACAAATATATATATATATATATATATATATATATATATATACATCTATATCTATATCTATATATATATATATACACATATACATATACATATACATATACATATATATATATATAAATATGACAACGACAGCTGGGCGAGATTTTGGAGGTCTTCGACACAGGTGTCGTCGTGTTCTTCAATCCCAAAACAACCCCCTAAAGGTGGTTCCCAGGGTTACAGCTAGGGCAGCTAGGGCAGCTAGGGCAGCTAGGGTTTAGGGTTTAGGGTTTAGGGTTTAGGGTTCAGGGTTTAGGTTTAGGGTTTAGGGTTTGGGGTTTGGGGTTTGGGGTTTGGAGTTTGGGGTTTGGGGTTTGGGGTTTGGGGTTTCAGGATGGTGCTGAGTTGTGATGCTACGTTGGTATCTTTAGAGTTTCAGGGGCCCAGAGAGCGGCATGCCCCCTAAGTAAGGAAGACACCGTAAACTTTATAGGCATCCTCATTCTGGTTCGAGGTGCAGTCCTGAACTACCAGGATGGGCTATAATTATACCCTATAATCCCTTAAAAGGCCCTTTATAGGGTTCATTATGGGGATCTTAAGGCCTAATAGCCCATCCTGGTAAGGGTAGTTCTTGGGCTCTCTGGCCGATTTCCGGCTCATAAAGGTTCCTTTGGGGTTTCTAAAGTAGAGGATACTAAGAGTAGACTTACAAAGTCCAAAGAGCTTCCAACAAATCGCTTGCCTGGGCGATGCCGCTGCCACCGCGCCCTCGATCCTCCGCCCCTCGCTGGGGCGGCATGGTGCACAAGATGCGTCTGCGCCTGAGCGGGGTGAGTTTGGCGCTTACCAGGATGGGCTCTTCGGCGCCTTAAAAACCCCATAGTGAACCCAATAAAGGGCCTTTTAAGGGATTCTAGGGTATACTAGCCCATCCTGGTAGGGCGGTGGGGGGGGGGGGGGCGGGGGACGTTCTCACCCTGGCCTGTATACGGACTTGCAACCCCGCGTCTGCGCAAGCTTGGTTGCTGGTTTTTCGAGAAGCTGTGCGGTAGGATGACGCGACACCATAGGAGTCGGAGTCTCTCCAAGCCCCGGGCTCCAGCTGTTTACAGGGGTTATCTGGGTTGGCCTGTAAGCTCTCTGAAAAATGTTTATGTATGGGGTCCCTTAGAACCCAAACAAGTAAAATAACACATGTCCCAAAAACCAACCTAATTATATAGGGTGTTGCAGGGTACTAGTCTTTTGGGGGGAAAGACAGTTTTCCAGATCAACTACCAGATGGAGCCCCAAGAGCCCAAAGATCACCTGGGCCATCAGCAAATTGTGGGTCAAGAGGTTATGTGAAGGAGCACGCTTTGGAGGAAACAGCAAGAAGAAACGGCTTCCGAAACATGTCTTGGATGTTGACTTGTGTTGCTGGGTGTGAACGATACCCAACCGAGCGATCGCGCCACACGTGTTGTCATGAACAAGTCCGAAAAACCTGAACCCTCAACGCTAAAGCCTTCCCAGAATAAAGGGCCAATGGAGTCCGGGTCTGCCTGCAGGCCCCCACAACACAGATTGTCGACACATGGGCTTTAGTAGATCGAGAGGGGGAGGGGGGGAAGCTCATAACCCCCCCCCCCCCCCCCAAACCTGATAGGAACTGGGCCGCCCAGGCATGTAATATTATGTGCTTCAGCATGCACCGAAGCTAACAGTTTCGACTGGCTCCTGAGCAGCTTCACCAATATCTGGCGAAGAGCACACATGGAGGCGACTGCACCTAAGTCGAACTGCCGACCGTCCAGGACATAGCCGCCTGATCATCAGGGTTTAGAGCTTCAGGCCCAATATAGCCCAAAAAGAGCTTCGGGCCCTAAATCCTAAACCTACTTCTCCAATAACCAAGGGGAAAAAAGGTTAAACTTATTATTCCTACTAAATAAGGGAACCCAAAAAGTTTAAAGTTCAGCTGTTGGAGAAGTAAGATAAAACCTACCCGCATTTCCCAATCCCTCCGGGCCGGTGATTGCCTTGCTTTTTTGGTCGACGACTTCCGATTTCCGTCAGCAAGTCCAAAAACTCCCACGGTTTAGGGTTTAGGGTTTAGGGTTTAGGGTTTAGGGTTTAGGGTTTAGGGAAGCCCAGGCTATGACCCGATAGGACTCTTAAGACATCTACCAAAAAAGGTAGGCTTTCGGTTCTTCAGGTTAAGCTTGCAAAGCCCTACCTTCGGAACCCAAAACCTAGGTTTCCGAAGAACCTAAAACAACAACCTGTACAAACTCATGAATTCGAGGCTCGTCCGGAATGCCAGTTACTGCTTTGACTGTTACTGGGTGTTGCTTTAAAGCCCTTTGAAAATTATTTATGGACAGGTTTTCTTGAAAGGGAAAGAAGGGAAATTTAAAATTATCCCCAAGCAGTATCAAGGTTATGACGCGGCCAACCGGCAAGTACAGGCACATAACAAGGAACGCGAGTTTGGGGTTTGAGGTGTAATTGGGCTTCAGGGCCTTTCGGGACCGGCCTAAGAGGTGTAATGGGAGATTTAGGGTTTACGGTTTAGGGTTTAGGGTTTAGCGTACCCGGGCCCCTTGTGCCAATCGTAAAGCCAAAAGGAGCGCATTCGATCTCCAGGGAGTTGTGGGAGACAGGGTCCAGAGAAGCCCCAACCCCTGAGCTCTGCACCCTTTCGCCCGGCCAACCTCAACCCTGAACAGATCTGGGGCGCCCTCCTGGGTTTAGGGTTTAGGGTTTAGGGTTTAGGGTTCAGGGTGTAGGGTTTAGGGTTAGCGAGTAGATGGCAGCAAGTACTTACTCCTGGGTTACCGTTTAGGGTTCACTTTATGGCGCTGAGGGGCTTGAATTCCTGTGCAAATGAACCTATGGCTGCGCCTGCTTCGCAGGCGGCTATGGTCTCCTCTGCAGCTGAGCGCCTCAGCTGCCGCTCGCCGGGGCCGTTTGCCTGTCCGAGTATGGCTCGCGCTCGCGCGCGCGCGCGCGCTAGCTTCTGTGGACCCCCACTGTTTACGTGACTGGGGACCCTAAACTCCAAAACCGTGAGGACGAAACGAACGGTTTTTTGAGACCGCACACCCGAAGCCAACTTAACTTCTCTAAAGTGTATATACGCAAAGTTGAGCAAGTCCGCGAACCCACCCCCAAACACCCTAAAGCTTGGCCTAAATCATTCCAATAAGAGGTAGTTCTGATTTTTGTCACGCGTGACACCCCTAAGCCCTAAAGCCTGAAGTACCGCAGAAGCCACGTCCCCCCAAAAAAAACCAACAAAGGGCTGTAGGATTTATAGGGGTTGGGATTTACCTGAAGACTTCAATGTAGTTCCGTTTAGGGTCCAGTATGGTTTATCCATTAAGGGTTATCGTATGCTACCCCGAAAAGGAGCTACCTGCGATTCTTCAGGTAGGCATTAGGGTTAGGGTGACCCGAAACCCTAAACCCCCTTAAATCCTAACACCTAAACCCCTAAACCCCTAAACCCCTAAACCCACACCCTCAGCCACCCGTAGAGTTGCAGGCAAGGTGCCTTTCGTATCCAGCCGTAGTCTGGGCCTGTGCAGCGGACTATGTAGCCGTGACTTTAAACAGGGTTGAGGGTTGAGGGTTGAGGTTGAGGTTGAGGGTTGAGGGTTGAGGGTTTAGGGTTTAGGGCTTAAGGCTTAGGGTGTAGGGTTTAGAGGCCCCTATTTGCAGATAGGTTCAGGTAAGGTTTGGGGCTTGAGGCAATGGGCTCATACTCACCCTAACCACCCTGAAACCTAACTCCTAAACCCCAAAAACTACATCCTAAATCCAAGAACCCTAAAGCAAGAAACCTTACAGCAAAAAACGCGAAGAGGAGCCAACAACTTGCAACCTTTCGCTGACCCTGTGGCCACGAAGGTGCCAAAGGGTTTTGGGTTTAGGGTAGTTTGGGTTCAGGGTTCAGGGTTTAGGGTTTAGGGTTTAGGGTTTAGAGTTTAGGGTTTAGGGTTTAGGGTTTGATGTCGAAAAGACAACTGAACCCAGAGGGCCAAATACCCCTGAATTCAGGACAATATCTGAGTTGAGGATTTTGGTTTACAGGGTGTTTAAGGGTTCACAGGGTTTATACATAGGGTTTAGGGTGTACGGCATATGCCCCTCATAATCATGAGGATGCCTAAGGAGTTTGAAGTCTCTTCTTCTTTGTCTTGGGCTCTCTGGGAACTCTTGCATAGACCACCCAGGGCGTAGGGATGGAGACTAGATTCCCCTAAACCCTAAACACCAAAACCCTAAACCCTAAACCCTGCAAGGATCCTAAGCTCCAACCCCTGACCCCTCTGTCCTTTGGGCTCCATTAGGGTTTATACTAGACCCAGGAGTAACCTAGGAACAAAAAGGGTGCCCTGTTTGGTTTGAAAGGGATTACAAGGGAACCCCAACCCTAAAAAAAGGAAATAAGGGGGCCTACTCCGGGCTCTAGGGTAGGGTTTAGGGTTTAGGGTTTAGGGTTTAGGGTTTAGGGTTTAGGGTTTAGGGTTTAGGGTTTAGGGTTTAGGGTTTAGGGTTTAGGGTTGAGGGTTTAGGGTTTAGGGTTTAGGGTTTGGGGTTTGGGGTTTGGGGTTTGGGGTTTGGGGTTTAGGGTTTAAGGTGACACCCAGATGTGAATCCGAGGAAGAACTCACCGCCCCGCCTGCCAGGCGCCCTGCGCTGGGCGAGGCGTAGCTTGGCAAGGAGGCAGGCACCTCTCCACTTCAAACCTAAACCCTAAACCCTACAGTAAACCCTCAACCCTAAACCCTCAAGGTCGTAGGGCCTGAGCCCTACGTCAACCCGGCACGCCGGAAACCCCCGAAGCCGAAAACGAAGCTCAGCTCGAAGAACAGAAAGCCACAGAGGATCGGCGGTCCCCTTTAATTCAGTGTTGTGAAGGGAGAGCACGACAACCCAACGAAGCAGGCACGACGGTAATCAAGGTTCGGTCACCCATGGTTTAGGGCTTCGGCTTCTTAAACACCCCCCTCGCCCCCCATCACCATCCCCCACCTTCTCCCACCCCACCCCACACCGCGAACAGGAACCCCAAGTACTACCATGAAACCCCAAAACTCTAGGAATGGGCAGTGCGGACGCACATGCAGGGTCTTGGGTATCCGGGCCTTGGGTATCGAAGTTCGGCTTTAGCGTCTAGAGAGAGAGAGAGAGAGAGAGATTTAGAGAGAGAGAGAGAGAGATAGAGAGGGTTGCAGGTTTTGAGGCTGGGATGTTGGATGCGGGGATTCAGGCCCAAATATTCCTGAGCATGATGCTCTTTCACCCAACAAGGGAGAATATGACGAATCTCAAGGCCTTACCGAGGAAAGAGGGGAGGAGCAGGGCGCTTGGGGCTTTTGCAGCTTGAAGTTTAGGGTCCCTAAACCCTAAACCCTAAACCCTTCTGGGTTTCGGGTTGAAGGTTGGGTCTTAAGAACTCCGGACCCTGGACCCTCAAAGTTCGCTGCAAGCGTCCTTCCACGAGAGTGCCCTTGTAGGTGTCCACACCCCATAGGTAACCCGTCAAACCCTAAAGCCCTAAACCCTTAACCCTAAATCCTTAACCCCTAAACCCCTAACCCTAAACCCTAAACCCTGAACCCTAAACCCTGAACCTTGAACCCTAAAAGCCATGCAATGAACCACACAGTGTCCCGGTACTGGGTGCAGGGGCCTTCACAGATGCCTGGCTCCATGAGGGGTTGAAGCCCGCGCCTCAGGGAATAGCCCTAAACCCTAAACCCTAAACCCCAAACCCCAAACCCTAAACCCTGAACCCTAAACCCTAAACCCTAAACTCATTGCACAAGACGCCAACTCTTGAGTTGCTTGGCTTCCCCAAGAGCGCTATAGACCCTAAGCCCTAAACAGCGGAACGCGCGTAGGGCTCAGGCTTGCAGAGTTTAGGGTACAAGGGTTTAGAGTTTAGGGTTTAGGGTTTTGGGTTTAGGGTTTGAGTACAGAGCTTTGGGCAAGTGCTTCCACGTGCCCCTGTCTTTGGGATGCAGCTCGGTAGGGGCCCCAAAACCTCTGACGGAATAGGAGGACAGTGGTGTTCTCTACGAATTGCTTAAGAACCCCCCCCCCCCAACAACAACAAAAATCTTCCTTATAAGGTAATATAGGGATTGTTGATTTTTGAGTTTTTTTTTTGGGGGGGTCTTAAGCAAATAGTAGTCATAGGTGTTAAGGGAGGGGGTTCCAAGGGGGGGGGGGGGGTGTGTAACCCAAGGTTCCTAATGCTCCCCACTACTCCCTAAGGCTCCCTAAACTTCCTTAAGGTTTTCTAGGTATCTACCCCCTGAAGCCCCATAAGAACCCTATACTATAAGCCCTTAGGCCTTGACTCCCAAAACCCTAAACCCTAAACCCTAAACCCTAAACCCTAAACCCTAAAAAACCAAAACCACAAGCCCCGTCCGCTCCACGCCACGCCGCTGCCGGAGCAGGAAGAAGGCGAGGCGCTCGCCGCGCTCGCTGGAGAAGCAGGGTATGCTGATGAGTCCTGGGTACTCCCCAAAGAGTAAAAGAGAATTTCTGTGGTCGCTTCCCTAATTTATGTTTGGGGCCCAGGAAAAGGATAATGAGGTACATGGACCCTTAGCTAATTTATGTTTGGGGCCCAGGAAAATGATAATGAGGTACATGGACCCTTAGCTAATATTTGCTTAAGACCGCCCCCCCCCCCCCCCCCCCCCCCCCGCACCAAAAACTAAAACATCATCCCTCTATCACCCTTATAAGGAAGACGATTTCCTATTTTGGGGGGTTCTGAAATAGTAAGCTAGGGAAAGGCATCAGGTTCATAAGCCAACTTTGTGAGTTCATCCTGCTGCGCACTTCTCGAAGCACATGTCAGGGGCTCAGTTTATTCCAGGGCGTCGCCCAACAGGGCACGCAAGACAACACCCTTGGCTTAAAGGGGCTACGCTTAAGGTTGTGTTTTTCGGCTTGGGGACCCTTTTGAAGGATCCTTAAGGTAGTATAAGGGCCATATCAGGAGTTAATTTAACGGGAACCTTTAGGGGTACAACCCTTAGGGGTACGAGTCTTAAACCTTTCACAACTTTTAATCTTACGATGACAATGCCAGCCCTCCCGCAATGAGTGCTGCCTCGCCCTTTCTGCGTTGTCGAGGCAGCATGCGTTTCTTTGGGTTTTGGGTTTTGGGTTTTAGGGTTTTAGGGTTTTAGGGTTTTAGGGTTTTAGGGTTTTAGGGTTTTAGGGTTTTAGGGTTTTAGGGTTTTAGGGTTTTAGGGTTTTAGGGTTTTAGGGTTTTAGGGTTTTAGGGTTTTAGGGTTTTAGGGTTGGAACTTTTTAGGAGCAGAATGCATATGGAAAACCCTAGAATTTCAGGCTCACTGCCGCTACAAGGGGCGGCGACAGCACTCCCGAAAACCAATTCTTACCTAAAGCTGCGGCTGAAAAAATCCTGTTCTTGGTACATAGCTAGTTTATGCAGCTAAGTTTGGCTAACCATGAGACTTCGTCCCAACAGAAGAAGCCATATGAACGCCCAGGTCAACCCTGAACTGCCCTAAACCCAAAACCCGAAACCCTAACCCTAAACCCTAAACCCTAAACCCTAAACCCTAAACCCAAACCCCTAAACCCCAAACCCTAAACTAATCCGGTCCGTTAAGACCAGTGTGCCAGGCCTCGAAGGTGAACAGAGGCTTTGCGCCAGCACAGGGCGACAGGGGCGGCGCCACGACTGGGCTCTGAGTTGTTCAGATCACCAGGATGGGTTTAGGCTTTAGGGTTTAGGGTTTAGGGTTTAGGGTTAGGGTGGGCCATTAGGCCTTAACATCCCCATAATGAACCCTATAAAGGGCCGTTTACGGGATGAACGGGTATAATAGGCCCATCCTCGCAGTTCTCCGAGTAGTCTAAGGGTAGCTTCAAGGGCCCCGAATGCTTACCTCCTGTATAAAGGGTTCTGAAGGACCATGTAACTACCCTTAGAAACTACGCGGAAGGGCTGCACTAGGGCACCTCTTCGGGTTTGGGTTTAGGGCTTTAAATACTGAACGGACAAAAAGAGGAAAGGGCCGAACATCTTGCTTGGGGACTGCCGGGCTCATCCGAGACCCCATATTGGAATTGAAGCACATCCTCTGTGCACCAGCATCGGGCCCAGTTGCCACCATGTGAGACATGAACGGGTCTAGGGTTTCGGGTTTAGGGTTTCGGGTTTAGGGTTTCGTAACCCCAGATCAAAGAACCAAAACCTACCTGTTTGCTCAGCTAACTATCCTTTACGGGGGATTGAAGATCACAGCGTGCCAACGAATAGGTTTGGGGATCAGGTCAACCCAACGCCCCGAAACCTGAGGCCCTAAGCCCATGATGCAACAATCAGACCCGCAACCCAAAACCCTAGCGTGCACCAAAAATGCCTCGAACCCTTCCCCTAAACCCTATACACTATAACCCCTTCCTCTAACCCCTACACCCGACAGCCCCCTTCTGAGGAGGCGTGCCCGGGTTCGGCGGCAACGCTGGGGCCCATGCTTGCTGTGCCTCCGGCTTGAGGGGTCTTGGACTTTTGTGCGTGGCATTACAGGGAGTCTAGGGCTTAGGGCTTAGGGCTAAGGGCTTAGGGTTTAGGGTTTAGGGTTTAGGGTTTAGGGTTTAGGGTTTGGGGTTTAGGCTTAGTGGAGTTGAGGGAGTTGAGGGTCCTTAAGCCCAAGTAGGATTAGCTCGTTCCAGTAACCCTACTTTGGAGTAGACCCTGGAAAACAAGTATATACTTTTTAGGCAGAAGCAACTATAATGGGAGCCCAGAACCAACAAAAGTATAAAAGTATAGTACTCCAAAACCCAATTTAAACAGACTTGAGAGGGGCGCTCCAGGCCCTAGTGCACTTTGAAACAAAGAAGCTTTAAAGCCCTAAACTCCAAAACCCTAAACCCCTAGAAGGCACTGAGTCCTGAAAACTTTAAGCACACCACATCTTCAATGCCTTACAACACCCTAAGCCCCAAAAACCTGAAACCCAACCTTCAGGCGCTAAAACACCCTTAACTCTGAATATCAACTGCAGAAACACCCGAAAGTCTAAACCTAAAACCGCTGAGCTCCAAACGCACTTAAGAAGCGCGAGCCCCTAAAGCCCAAGTCCCAAAACGTCCATAACCCTGAACCTCTAAACCCTCAAACCCCTAAAGCTCCTAAAGCCCCGAAGAAGGTTTAGGGTTTAGGGTTTAGGGTTTATAGGGTTTAGGGTTCAGGGGTTTCGGGTTTAGGGTTTAGGGTTTAGGGGTTTCGGGTTTAGGGTTTAGGGTTTAGGGTTTAGGGTTTAGGGTTGAGGGTTTAGGGTTTAGGGTTCAGGGTTGTCCCGAGCAAGCCCACCTGTGCTGGCCAGGGCGTCCTGGAAGAGGCGGCGGGACTTCGGACCTGACACTTGGAAAGAGGAGGAGCTCCGCGGGTTTGTACCCTTAAAATCTACTATTTATTTGCTTAAGAACCCCAAAGGAATAAACAATAATGATCCCTATATTCCCCTGAGTAAGGAAGAATTTGTCCTTTATGTTTTGGGGGGTTCTTCAGCAACTTGTAGTAAATCTAGGGGTAGTTACATGGTCACTACGTATGGGCCCTCAATTAACAGGGGACACCTTTTATTTTTCCCCGTATAAATACCCTTTACAACCCAGGGCTCATACTTCAGAGTCCTTTAAAGGAGGTAAGGTGGGTTTAGGGTTTAGGGTTTAGGGTTTAGGGTTTAGGGTTTAGGGTTTAGGGTTTAGGGTTTAGGGTTTAGGGTTTAGGGTTTAGCGTTTAGGGCTTAGGGTTTAGGGTATGAAGGGCCCATACCACTGCCCTTGGAAAGAGGGGGACTCCGCCTTCTTATAGGCTTACATATGAGGCGCTTCGGGGTAGGGAGTTTTTAGGGTTTAGGTTTAGGGTTTATAGGGGCTACATGTCCTAGGCGAGCAGGTGCCCCACCGGATGCGCGCCTAACTGTGCTCTTATAGCCCGCTTCTAAGCCCCTTAAGTGCCCGCATATGGCTATATGTACAGTGATAAGAACAGTTATAGTTGGTTAATAAATACCGGGAACCTCCAAGTAAACCCCTATAAACCCCAAACCTCAGCCTTTCACCATGTTCACCGCTCTCTGCTCATCCTAAACTCTTAAACCCTTAAACCCTTAAACCCCAAAACCCTACTAAACCCTAAACCCTGAACCCTGAACCCTGAACCCTAAACCCTAAAAACCCTAAACCCTAAGCTCTGCTGCTCCAGGTGGCCACGTTTTTCGCGCCGACCCAGCCGCATAGTGCGCCCACCTGCACCTGGCTGCGAGCCTAGACCAGTGTTGCCCTAAGGGCCCTTGGGATTAGGGTTTAGGGTTTAGGGTTTAGGGCCATGTACCCAAATAGGGAATACTTGGGCTTCAAAGTACCTCCAAAACAAGGACTTTGCGGCCAAGGTGAATGATGGTGCGGTACATGGACCCTTAGGGTTAGAGATAAGCGCTTTAGGGTTCAGGGCTTTAGGATCCTTGCCCACCCGACGGTATGCCCGATGTAGTCCATGTAAGGGTTTAGGGTTTAGGGTTTAGGGTTTAGGGTTTAGGGTTTAGGGTATTTAAGGGTTCCCATGTGTTTCAAGATGTAAAGCTTTCCTGATTGGATTTCGTGGGGCTTCCCTTGGGCCTGCAAGTGGGTCCCTCAATACTGGACCCAAACTTTCCCGACACAAAAATGAAACCCTAGAACTGGAGACCCTGTGTCCCTAAACCCTAAACCCTAAACCCTAAACCCTAAACCCTAAAACCTGTGTGATGAAGTGGGGTTGATTCCTGTTTGGAAGGGCATGCCGGCACTTCTCCGAACAGCTCGGGTCGAGGGGAAAGAGTTATGTACTATACTGCATCAGTACAGGCACCTAGTCTACCCAAAACCTTGAAACCTCAGGACACTATCAACAGAATTACATCATTCTGAATTTCCAAAGTCATCTGCCAAAAATAGCTGGAGCCGCACAAAGACCCATTTCCTAAACAGCAACTCCAGCAACTCGCGCGCAAGTAATTCATTCACAATGCTCTGGGGACGCCAATTTCTTGAACCTCTAACCCACCACTCCCCAAGCCCTGCCCTCCCAGTTGCCAGGTTGGTTGGTTGGAAGGTATCCCTTAGGGTTTAGGGTTTAGGGTTTAGGGTTTCGGGTTGTGAATCAGAGTCCAGGGCCCTCACACACTGATCTAGGCCCGAAAGGACAAGCTCAACCACTCCCCCCCCGCCAGATCAAAAAATGAACCTAGTGTCCCAAGCCGAAGCGTTTCGTTCAAGACTTTGTTCAAGACTCTCGCTCAAAACGGATCGTTCAAAACGTTTCTTTCAACACGTGTTAGTTCAAAGCGTGTGGTTCAACACCGTTGAAGACTGCCATCCAACTTCTCGGGACTCAAGCCCTATGCAGTTTCTTGATGGATTTATGAATATTCTATCGCGATGGAACTTGAGGCATTCTGTGAGAGGAAAGATACCGGAGACATGCATATTGGCGAGGTCCAGGGCCGGACAGGGAGCGCGAGGGCCCTCCTAAATCATTGGAAGCAGAAGTTCTGAACAAACACGTTTCGTTCAAGAAGGGTTTAGGGTTTAGGGTTTAGGGTTTAGGGTTCATTCGTCCAAAACGTTTTTTTTATTTTTTACAACAAGAACTTTGTGGGGCCCAGACCTATACAGTTTGACCTATACAGTTTCTATAAACCCGAAACCCTAAACCCTAAACCCTAAACCCTAAACCCTGAACCCTGAACCCTGAACCCTGGCCTGTATAAAGGCATCGACAGCTTGGAGTTCCATCGCGCTGCTCTGACTGGGCACTGTGCCTCAGGGCCGAGGCATCCCCCTAAACCCTAAACCCCAAACCCGAAACCCGAAACCCTAAACCCTAAACCCTAACCCCAAGGATCAGGGGCGAAGCCTACCGGGTTCAAGATTCGAACCCTAGACTCTCCGCCCTAAACCAGCCGGGTGGAGGGTGTTGGGTTGCCAAACACCGTATAACCTTAACTTCCAGGTGTAAGCCAGGTGCGCTGAGCCTTGAGTGTGTTCAGACTTTTAGGTAGCTTTGGGCTTCAGAGTGTAGGATTTTATCGCAAGCTTGCGTGGACTGTTTCAGGTTCTGATGCCCCGGGCCCCAGCCAAAGCCCTGCGCCGTCGCCAAACACCAAGCTTGCCAAACTGCTCAGAGTTTGAGGTTGGAAGATTCTGGCCCATTCCCCTCATGCAGGGTCATACGTGACTTTTTGATCTTGTGAGAGTACTTGGGGGTATCGGGCACAGTTCGCGGAGATAACGGTATGACACGCGCCAAATAACCTGAAACAGCCTGCCTGTATTCTTCGGATCCGACAGGAGGCCCCCCTCACTGAAAAGTCCCCGCAGAAAGGGCTCAAGATGCAAGGGTAGTGACATGGTTCCTTTGGGCCATTAAAAGGGACCCCGTATATACCCCGCCTTATATACCCGACACAACCCAACCCCAGGACCCACACATCCGAACATTCAGGGACCATGAAACTACCCTAAGACAAGAGGCGAGTATGGCCTGCTATCATGCGTCTTAAGGCTCATGTGGCAGTTTTGATCTGGGGGCTTCAGGGTTAGGGTTTAGGGTTTAGGGTTTAGGGTTTAGGGATTAGGGTTTAGGGTTTAGGGTTTAGGGTTTAGGGTTTAGGAGCGCTCCCTTTGGTATCTATGCACCCAGGCCAAGTGACCCACCACCGCAGCACCTGACGTAGGAGATGCAAAGATCCGCACCTTGCAAAGCAGGCCCTGCTTGAAGGCCCTTACGAACTACCAGTAGGGTTTAAGAAATAAGGAAATAGGGGTTTAGGGTTTAGGATTTAGGGTTTAAGGAAGGTTTAGGGTTTATGGTTTAGGGTTTAGAGGTTTAGGGGTTTAGGGGTTTAGGGGTTGAGGGGTTGAGGGGTTTAGGGGTGGTTTAGGGTTTAGGGTTTAAGGAATAATTCAGGGTTCAGGGTTTATGGTTTAGGGTACCTGTCTGGGTAGCAACTCGCTGTACTTGGGACACGGCCCTGGCCTGATAAGAATGAACCGAAGGTTTTGGGAGGTTGATGAGCGAACCGAACCCCCTTTAGGGTGGGGTTTAGGGTTTAGGACCCTAAGCCCTGACCCGAAAAGTTTAGGGTCTAGGTTGCTTCTGGGCAATCTGGAACTTACCGTAGCTGCTGAGTTCATAGACCTGCCAAAAAGTGTACACTTTCAGTTCTCTAGGGGATTATAGTATCCCCAAAAAAGTGTAAAGTGTACTAATTCAGCTACTAAGCCAAAAGGGACAACCCCTTGTATACCCCTTATCTACCCTATACAGGCCCATGCATCAGAACCCTTTAAAGGAGGCTAGGGACTGTATTAAGGGTCCGTAAAACTACCCTCAACCCTAATCCCTAAACCCGAACATTAAAAAAAGACGATGGCCTGCCTTGAATATGCAGGATCCATGCAACCCAGGCACGCATAAACTGCCAAGACGGTTTAGGGTTTAGGGTTTAGGGTTTAAGGTTTATGGTTTAGGGTTTAGGGTTTAGGGTTTACAAGCCCCTTAATGTGCCCAAATATGGTTCTAAATGACTGGGTAACAAGTACAGATTATGATTGGGCAAATAAGGGCCATGAATCTCCAAGGTAATGATTTCTAGGGCTTAGGGTTGTTGCAGAGTTCAGATGTCACCTCGACAGCTCGATCGGAGTAGACCATCCAAGCTTTCTTCAAATTCCCTTAAACCTTAAACCTGAAACCTTAAACCTTAAACCCTACACCCTAAACCCAAAAACCCTAAACCCTAAAAGCCCTAAGCCCACGGTCCTCTCTAGTCCTGAATCCCAAGGGGTCTAGGGCTCAAGGGTTCTAAGTTTCTAAAGCCTACTGGGCCTCCTAGGTTTAGGGGGGGCCCGAAGAAATCGTAAGCCGCAGAAGGGGCAGCCTCTGGGTATCCTTCCGCCTGCCGCAGGACCACCCCCTGGCGCCGGCTGAGCAAGACCCTAAACCCTAAACCCTAAACTCTAAACCCTAGACCCTAAACCCTTGGACTTTGGAGGGACACATCTGGGGTTTGGGGGGGGGCTTACGACCCTAGAGGCTTTCTACCTACCCGTTTTGCTGTGCTACAGGTTGGGATTCCTTGGTATGGAAGTTAGGCACCCAAGAAAAGTGTGCATTTTTGGCGGGTTCCTATGCAAATAGTAGTCGTATGTTAAAATCCAAACCTTAGTTTTAATGGTTGGGGCGTTGAGGGCTTCCCCTCGACCATAATCCAAGAGCCAAAGCTCTACACCCTAAACTCCCTTAACCTCTAAACCCTAAACCCTAAACCCTAAACCCCAAACCCTAAACCCCGAACCCTAAACCCTAAACCTCAATCTCAATATCCCGCGCTCTTATCAGGTGGCCTGGCATCGTGCACCGCCCCATTGCGGAGGCGGCGCTCGGATCTGCATGGCGCCTGCACCTTCCCGCACTCAGCTTAGGGGTTATGGGTTGAGGGTTTAGGGTTTAGGGTTTGGTGTTTAGGGTTTAGGGTTTGGGGTTTGGGGTTTAGGGTTTGGGGTTTGGGGTTTAGGGTTTGGGGTCTGGGGTGTAGGGTTTAGGTTTTATAGGGTTTAGGGTTTAGGGTTTAGGGATTAGGGTTTAGGGTTTAGGGTCTAGGGTTTAGAAGGGAGATGTTGGGTTGGTTTAGGGGTTTACACGTGACTCCCATACCCTACAAAGTAGTAGGCTACAGCCCCCTAAAATCTAGGGCAGAAGCCCCGCACAAAATCATAAACCCTAAGCCCTATATAAACACTAACACTAACGAAACCCTAATGGAGCCTCAGGTAGGCCCTATCGGGCTTAGGATCCAGAGGTTCAAACAACTTCCAGGAAGCCCTAAAACTTGAACTAAATACCTTCAACCGGACTTCGGGGTTTAGGGTTTAGGTTTGGGGATTTGGGTCCTAGACCCTGACACCGTCAACCCGAAGAAAAAGCACCCACAGACTTGGCTCTAGTGTTCGGATAGAAGTGCGCATGCAGAAGCAAAGATGAATGTCATACAGACGTACACCCCCCTGGCAATAAACAGACCTGATAGATTTCGGGAGGGCGGGGGGGGGGGGGGGGGGGGGGTTCCCGTCTTGAAGGTTCTAATAGTAAAAATCACAAAAAATGATGCTACTAATGACAAGACTCAATGACAAGACTCTTCCTCTTTTTGTCGTGTTGAGTCAGGCAAACAAGGAGCCATGAGTTTGGACAAGGTGTATGTTGTTTGCCATGGCGTGTGTGGGCGGCAGGTTGCGTGAGTTGAAGTTGCCGCAAAGACATTACAGGCATCAGCATCCGATGTTAGTCCAATGCCTTCAGGCTACAGGCCCAAGCCCATGCGCAAACGTCTGGGCAGATAACCGCTGTGTTGAGACATCTCTATCTCACGTTCATCTATGCACCTCCTGTATCGCGGCTACATGAACCTAGCTAAAGCTGCTTTACACGCGTGTACCTGCGCAAGCTCTGGCAATGGCTTGACTGACTGTCCCACCAGCATCCGAGACAGGCCAGGTGTACCCAAGGGGAGTGACATCCTAGATCCCCCTTAAGGTACAATGAATACCCCTAACCTGTCCTTTAAGGTACAATGAATACTCCTAAACTGCCCCGTAAGGTACAATGAATGCACCTAACCTGTCCTTGTCACATAAGTGGCCTGCAGTCACCGGCGGCGCATAGGCCGTGAAATCAGAATAGTCCTCAGTGGCTGGGGTGACGGAGATTGAAACCTAAAATTTCCCCAAACCCCGAATCATAAAGCCTGAGCCAGAAACTCTGAACCATAAACCCTGAACCATAAACCCCAGACCATGAACTCTGAACCAGAAACCCTGCACCATAAACCCTGCACGTAAATATAATGAATCACATGTATATATGCATACAATCTGTACTGCTTTTGCCTTCGACTAGAGCAAGGGCTGCGCTTCTCACATCTACATCTGTCTATGATTGAACCGCACGCCCTGAACCCCAAATGCTGTGGAAGACAAAGCATCGGCGGGAGCCATGCTCCATGGTGACACCGGACGGGGGTGCACAAGGGTGGCCTGCATGCGGTTTAGGGTTTAGGGCTTAGGGCTCAGTGCTCAGAAAGGTTTAGATTTTCAGGATTCGGGGTTAAGGGTAGAGGTTTTAGGCCTTCTGGGGTTTATTATGGTCTGAGGGTTTAGGGTTTTGGGCTTCCGAGGGTTCCGGGCTTGCAGATTTTAGGGTCTTAGGGTTTGGGGCTCAAGGGCGCTTGCTTGAAGGTTCACGCGACCAACTCACCAGGTCATAAGTGCGATTCCTCGTCTCCTACCTCTGATGCCATGAACCTTTCAACCTGCACCCTAAACCCTAACCCTCTCGGGCTGAGGCCTTATTGAGGTCTGCTTTCATCCTCAACACGGGAATAAAGTGGATCCCTGCAGACTCCCAACCCCCCCCCCCCCTCCCCCACCCCCACCCCCTGTTCTTGTTCTTGAATGGGGCTGAGAAGGGAACCTTCACCTGAACAGAAGGGAGAGGGCTTGGGGTTTAGGGTTTAGGGTTTAGGGTTTAGGCCTTAGGGTTTAATGTTTAGGGTCCCTCATACCCCGGAGCCTTGAAAGAAACCCTCAAACACCGAGACCCTCAGACAGCTCAGCCCGCGGAAATCTACCAAACCTTGAGCAACCCGACGCCCTTTCCAGACTATACCAACCCTATACACCATAACCCCATAAATCCTACAAACTCTATACGCCCTGCAAACCACATCAACCCTATAAATCCCATATGCCCTATAAAACCTATCAACCCTAAACCCCAAACCCTTAGCCTAAGCCTGAGCCCTCAACATCCTACAGAAAAAATTCCAGAAAGTTGGAACAGGGATTAAGGATCAGACCTGGGATTCCCTTTTGTATACCTTCGGGGGTATAAGAATAAGGATGTTCCACTTTCTGGAGTTTACTACTATTTGTCTAAGAACCCCCGACATTTTGTTAAAGAAAAAATAGAGTAACAACAATATAGTAGCAACCCTTTAGGAAGAATATATATATATATATATATATATTATGTTTTTTGGTTGGGGGGGGTGGTTCTTAAGCAATTGGTAGTTTACTGTAAGCCTAAAGATGCTGCACCTCGACTGGAGGGCGAGCTCCAGCGAGTTCACAGCAAACCTGGGCAGCTGCCAGGGGCTTTTTAGGGGACCACGGGGTCGACGTTTTAGGGCTTAGGGTTTAGGATTTATTGGGGGTTTTAGGGTTTATAGGGTTTGTAGGACCTTGTAGGCTTTACATGCTTTGCAGGGCTTATAGGGTGGGCGCAGGATTTAGGTTTAAGGTTCAGGGTTTAGAGGCCATGGACCATGGGCTGATAGGGTTTGGGGTTTGCGTTTTAGAGCTCAGAGAACACTTGAAATGAAGTACACACCTACGATTCGCTGTCGGTCTGGGTAGGGCTTGAGCTTTAGAGTTTCGGGTTTAGGGTTTAGAATACGATCCTCTTAAACCCAATAAGGGACATGTTTAAGAAAATTCCAAAGACCTACCCAGCAACAGGGATCCCAGCATGAGTTAAGACAAGTCCCTAAACCCTAAACCCTAAACCCTAAACCCTAAACCCTCAACCCTGAACCCTGAACCCTGAACCCTGAACCCTGAACCCTGAAGGCTAAACCCTTTCTTCATGAAGCAATATCCGACTCGCTGAGCCAGGCCCTCAACGCCACGAAAACGGGTTTTGGGAACAGGCTTTAGAAGAAGGGGGCTTCTAGTTCTAGGGCTTAGGGCGTCTAGGGCCTAAACCCTAAACCCTAAACCCTAAAACCCAAACCCTAAGCCCTAAGCCCTAAAACCGCAGCCCTAAGCCCTAAGCCCTAAGCCCTAAGCCCCAAACCCTAAGCCTGGCCTTCGCACCCATCAGCGTTGAGCGTTTCCCATCGCTGGCGCTGCCAGCGACACAGCCACATGTGCTGACATCTTGCATCAACTGGGATCCACCCTCGACTCTACAAATATATGCTTAAGAACAAGCAACAGGTTTTGGGTTTAGGGTTTAGGGTATAGGGTTTAGGGCCCTGAACTCCACACCCTACCTGCAGGCTCCAATGTAGTTCCGCTTAGGGTTAGTTATAGGGGTATACTACCCCAAAAAGGAACTACATAGGAGCCTTTCGGTACAGCCATTTGCTGTAGAACCCGCAAAAAGATGCAAGATAAAGTCCCTGTACTGCCCTTCTCAGGACGAATGTTTTGTAGTTTTTGTGAGATTCTAAAGCAAATAGAAGGCTTAGGTTTGGGGTTTAGGGTCTATAGTAGACCTCTTTGGTTCTGATTCACCCACACCCAACAAATGGCACACTGGTGACGTTGGGAGGGTTTACCTATATACCTGTAGTTGGAAGTACAGGGGATACTGAAGTGGGTATGTACCCCCCCCCCCCCCCCCCCCCCTAAGTCTGTTTGAACCTTGTAGGAAACAGCTAAATTAGGTGTTCGCTCAACTCCAAACTCTCAACCCTCAGCGAGCTGCATGTTGGAGCTTCAACCCTAAACCCTAAACCCTAGGTCCTAGGTTTCCCTTTCTATAAGTATAGTTGCAAAGCCCGAGGCCTAAAACCCTTCCAGCCCTGAAAAGAGCCTGAGCCAGATTCCAAGGCCACACAGCAGTCTGACCTGTGTGAAAGCTTGCTATATGCATATACACACCCATATAACTGCATTTGTGTCTGTATATGTAGTTTCGTATGTGTATATATTGATATTCTATCTATGTATATGTGCATACATGTTGTTTCCTGCAAGGCCTCAATCCTTCAGGGCTGAGAGACTTCTGTGAGAGGGGTTTGGGTTTTCCAATAGGATTCCTCATTCTTACAAGAACATGCCTTGATGTTTAACCCTGAAAACCTGCAACAAAAAAGCCGTTCAACACTAGATTTGCTTAAGCTGGACGAAGCGAAGTCAAAAACACAGGTCCCCAAGCACAGCCCAGAAATATAGTCCTGACTGCGTCCCACACAAACCCAGCACCCAGTGCCAGAGGCTGTCAGTACAAACATGCCTGAGAGTATCAAAGGCCCCTCAGTATCATTTGGGGCATCTTACGAATGATTCAGGGGTCGAAATCAGACCTCCTGCGAAGAAATCGCGAGGAATGAAGGCGCGCGCTTCAGTGGCATGGCGGTTTCATGACTCTGAATACCTATCCCCCATGACCACTTGTCTTTGAAGGACCCCATAACTGGGTTTTAACCTCCAAACCCCACCCTGAACTCACCTCCCGCTTGATAAGGCCCAAGAAACGAAAAGGGTACCTCAGTGGTGGCATATTTAGGTACCTACAAAGGGTTGTTGTGGGGGGGGGGAGGTCCAAATAAAACCCCCCCCCCCCCCCCCACAAGTGTTTGAAACTCTGCGCGGGGCCTCGCATCTTC